CCCCTTTTTTTTTTTTTTTTTTTTTTTTTTGTCAAGAAACTGGTCTCTAGGTTTGAGAGTTTGTAGTTTCTGCCTTTTGGATAAAACAGTCCCATCCCATCTCAACCCCTCTCCCTTCTCTTATTTTCCATTTTCCTTATTTTTATAAAGCGGCCAGGGATATTTTAAATGGGCATCTCCTCTTCCTCTTGGTGAATTCCACTTCTAATACTCCTCCCTGCACCCACTCCTTGGCTGGGTAGTTAAAGACAGGCAACCTGAGGACACCACTGCCATGAAGAGAGGTTCACCAGCCTGCTGTGCTGATTGCGTGTTCAGAGGTTTGCCAGGTGCTGAAGTGCTGTGTGCTAGCAACATAGGGTGGGGTGGGGGTGTCTTTTTTTTAATCCTAAGGGGAAGGCATTAAGCCTCTGGTTCCTTTCGTTACAGATCAGTTTGGGGTTTTTTATTTTGCTTTGAGGTGGGAATTGAAACTCCTGGTTAGTTTATTCCTTTTTTTATTGGCAAAGTGGGTGCGATAATATTAAAAACTCAGATCTCCTCGTTTTGTACATAATTGATGGTTAAGTCCTTGTTCACTTTAAATAAACAGAAAAAACAAATTTCTCTCTTTTTTTTAATTGATTAGTGCCTTTTTGGAAATTTTCAATAAAAGAAACTCCTGCTTTGTTTTCCTGTTCTATGTGTATTCACCTCATTCTGTTTCTCCCTTTGTTTTAATTGGATGCAGAGCTCCTCTTCGCTTCCTGTCCTAAGCTGTTGTGTGGTTTCATTGCATGCTAAAGAGCTGTTTTATACCATGGAAGATTTTAGACTTTAACTATGTTTTGATGGAATTTTTTAAATGGAAAATTGGCCCGATTTCAAGAAGTCTTCTGTGAAAAATGTCAGTTTTCCAGGGAAAATCCAAATTGTTTTTGTTTTTCATTGAAAAAATGCATGCACAAAACCTGAAATGTTTTGATCTGGGATCCACTTACATAGTGCTTCCTGGGCCCCATTTGCCTGTGTGAGCTGGGCTTCCTAAAGGCACATCATATTCCCTTATGCACTGCAAGAAACCAAGATGCATTGTGACAAATAAAGCATAACCAAGACCCAAAGAGGAGAACAGGAGCATGAGACTCTGTAGCAGCATTTCAAATATGAAATAATTTGTGTGGGTTTTTTTGTATTTTTTAAAATGAAGAGCTGAACTCTTCCATGGAGAACAGAAATTAATTTTTGTCCCTTGTAACCCTGAAATCACAGAGGAAGGCCTGTTGTGGGGATGACAGATACACAAGGTAAGGTCACTTTGTCTGCATCGAGCATGACACATTTAGACTTTATGATCACAGCTTTTGGTTTTGTTCAAAAGAAAAGGGAAGCTTCCAGCCCTCAGGGTTGCGAGGAGAAACTTCCTCGTGTGATCTGAATGTAAGACGCAGCGATGCTTAGCTGAGTCTGCAGGCAGCTTGATGTGACGGCTCAGAGAGCCTTAATTCCTTGTCCATTAACCTCCTTGAACTGTCAACTGTTCCTTGTCACAGGTTGTTGTTGATTGTTTTTGCAGGAAGTGTGGGTGCATGAAAGGGAATGCAGAGAGAAGAGCTGAGCTAGGAAGGAAATGCAAGGAGAGAAATAGCACAGGTCCCAGTGGGGTAGTGCATTCTCCCAGCGACTGATTTTTATCATGAATATAAAGAACCACAACAAATAGTTACTATGTAAAGATAGATTCTGTCTGTTTCCTTGGTGTAAACCTCCCTCTGCCATCAGTGAAGTTGGGGCATGCCCCTGTCCCTGCTGAAAAAATGGGAGCTGTTCCCTCTGGTGGGCATTTGGCAGCCATGCCTGCTGACTTTCATCTCTCTGGGCCTCAAGTCACCCTCCCTCTTGCCTTGTGACTTGAATTAAATCACATTCTGGTTCAGAAAACAGCCTCTTTATTTACTACAGCGAGAAAAATAATTTCCCTAATTGTCATTGCTGAAACTGAGTCGGTGTGTAGGGGGGGTCTTTGGGTTGTGGGGGGAGTCAGTAGGGGGAACCTCAGTGGGGCTGTAATGCTCCCCACTAATGGGAATGGAAGTGGTGGTGACAGAGGAGAGAGTGGTCAGTGCCACAGCTCCCTCATCAAAGGATCGTTGGTAGGGAACAGGTGGCTCAGCCCACAGCTCTTTCAGGGCCCGATAGCCCAGGTACACCTGTATGAGAGAGAGGAGAGACATGTTGGATATGCATGATTTCTGGAAAGCATTTTGTGTAATTCCAGCTAGAACAAATGTACTGCAAAATAATGATTGTATAGAAGGAGGTCATCTAGTCTACCCACCTGTTCAAATAGGACCATCCCCAACTATATCATCCCAGTTAAGGCTGTCTAGCCTGGTCTTAAAAACCTCTAAGGAGATTCCATAACCTCTTTGGGTAACCTGTGCCAGTGCTTAACTACCCTTCTGGTGAGAGAGTTTTTCCTAATATCCAACCTAAGCTTCCCTTGTTGCAACTTGAGACCATTGTTCCTTGTTCTGTCCTCTTCCACTGCTGACAACAGGACAGCTCCATCCTCTTTGGAACTCCCTTCAGGTAGTTGAAGGCTGGTATTAAATGCCCCCTGGGTCTTCTCTTCTGCAGATTAAATATACCCAGTTTCCTCAGCCAGAAATCATGGGCCCCAGCCTCCTAACCATTTTTGTTGCCCTCTGCTGGATTCTCTCCAACTTGTTCACATTCTTTCTGCAGTGGGGAGCCCAAAACTGGACACAGTACTCCAGATGTGGCCTCACCAGTGCTGAGTAGAGGGGAAGAATCACTTCCCTTGATCTTCTGGTAATGCTCCTACCAATGCAGCCCAGTATACCATTAGCCTTCACAACAAGGGCATGCTGCTGGCTCATATTCAGCTTATTGTCTGCTGCAACCCCCAGGTCCTTTTCTGCAGAGCTGCTGCATAGCTAATTGGTCCCCCACCTGTACCAGTGCATGGGGTTCTTCTGTCCTAAGTGCAGGACTTTGCACTTGTCCTTGTTGAACCTCATGAGATTTCTTTTGGTCCAATCCTCTAGTTTGTTGAGGTTTCTCTGAATCCTAGCCCTACCCTCCAGCATATCTATTACTCCTCACAGCTTGGTGTCATCTGCAAGCTTGCTGAGAGTACGCTCTATCCTATCTTCTAGGCTGTTGATGATGAGTCCATGTCCATGCTCACGTACTGCCCAAGGTTTTGAGGATGTCCCCCATGGTTCTTGGTGATGTAGCAAGCTGAGTTGCTCTATGATTTTTTTCCTAGGAAATTAAAAAAACTTGTCTGTCCTTTCTGGGCATATGGGGGGGAACTGTGGGAAGACACTAGAGGACTATGGGGTTTGAAAGGAGCTAGCTAACATCCATGCTATTAGATGGCTGCTAAACCATGCTTACTTGGGTTATAGCTTATAACCTCTCTCAAGCCAGCACTATCAAATTAAAAACCCTGTTGCAGCTGAGCTAAACTATTTTGTGTGTGAACAGGATTTGATTTGGAGACATGCTCAAGTAATAAATGAAGTTAACTTTGCAGTGAATACAAAGCCAGAGAATGGCCTCTACGGCTAGCTCCCCAGGCGGTGGAAATCCATGGAGCTCTGGTGACCTCAGTGGAGTGATGCTGAATTGACACCAGCTGGGGAACTGGCCCAGGCTTTAGAAAATGGTTAGATTTTACTGACTCACCCTTTCCTATGGCTCCTGAGCATTTCTCTTGTTCCCAGATGTAGCATAACTCTATGGATGGCTAAGCCCTGACTCATTCATCTGGGCTGTGCCAGGGCTAAATGAGTGAGCCAGAGAAGGGCTGTTACCCTTGTGTGAGAAGGTATTTCCTAGTAGAGTCAGGGACTGTTCTGACCTTCTGCAGCACATGGCCAGAGGACTGCCCCGAATGAGATTTTGCCTGAACTAAAAGCAGGGGTTCTTGAAAAACCTCCATTGCAAGCAACTAGATCTGCAGCTCTCTGTGGAAAGTGTGAGTCACCCATTTGTGGTGAGTGAACAGATGGTCTGTTTTGTGGCCTGATCCCAGAAGGGCCCAACAGCAGAACTCCCTGTGAAGTCAACAGTTTCAGAGGTGTTTCAGGACTCAAGGCACAAGTGAATAAGGTCTGAGCCCTTTGCCCTGTCTTTGCGTAAGCATCTTGTAAACTCCTGTGCCTATTTCACAAGGTCTCTCCTTTGGTGCATGAGAAACTGTCCATTACGGCAGAATGTGAAAGGAAGAGCTTAGTCTGAGAGAGGTTGTTGGGTCAGGGTGGGAAGTCAGCTGTGGTCAGTATCCAGGTAGACAAGTGAATTGAACAGATTCTGTCAGCAAAAGAACAAGGAACTCTTGGTTTAAAATCATAGTTCTGTACCTAAAATGCCTCACATGCCTCAGTTTCCCCAAACACCTGCTCTTGTGTTAAAAGGGTTAACTGCTTTAGAAATGTAAAGTGATGCCTCCCTTTTAAATGGTTAGAAGGATAAGCCCTTACTGTAAATGAAAGAATCAAGCAGGGAGATCCCAGAAATGCTCCCATCCCACTATACCTTCCCAACTAGAGCTCAGTTTCCTGGGAAGGGCTTGGTTAGGACTAGGAAATGACCCCTTGCTCTCTCTCTGGCAGTGAGGTACACCTGGCATGAGGCAATGCAGTGGAAGTTTAACTGCAATTGCCAAATCAAGTGGTTTGTTCTTTTCTGAAAGGACTGGAGCTAAGAGAGAGTGTGGAAAATTTCTTACCCAGCATGGGATGGAGAAGAAAGCAAAAGAGATGCTAGTACGGGCGGAGCTGCTTCCCAGCAGGTAGCGATGAATAGACTTGTTCCACTGATTGGCCAAGAAAGAGAAGGCGACAAACCATACACAGGACCAGATGACTAGAAGGGTGGGGAGAGGAACATGAGGAAACAATTCAAACAGGAGTAGGAAGGTCATGAGGAGGTGAGAGCAGAGCTGTATGGCACAGATCAAACCTCCTCAAAGCAAGTAACTGAGGCAATGGAACTTGGCTGGAAAGGATAAAGCAGCAGAAAAATATTGCAACAGTGGTAAGGATATAAACCAAAGGAGCAGCACACATAGCAGGAGCTCCTACTCCAAGGAGTGAACCAATTGCCTGAGGAGTTTGGGCAGTATAGCTTTCAAAGTGCAGCAAAAATGCAAGAAGCACCACTTGTCTGTTTTTATATCTTTTTATTGGTCCAAATTTATAGTTGGGAAAGATGTTAGATAAGCTTTTGGGTACAATATGCCTTCCCTCAGGTTACCCAAAAGCCGGTCTAACATATAACAGCTTTCCCAACTACAAAGTTGCCCCAATACAACATATCATCAGGAAACTCATGCACCTCACAGGGACTGGGGGGGGGGGTTTTCTCTGGTGGACATCTCTGGACAATTGGCACAGTGTGTAAAAGAGGTGCTTTGCCTTCTGGGTGTCTTCAACTGAACCTGAAAGGGAGAGAAGGCACCAGATGGATTAATGGTCCGATCCAGTGTGGAAGGGACATTTGATGAAATGGGCTAGCAGGGTGGCCTACCATGACAACATACTAGCCTAGATGGATCATTAGACTAATCAGAGGAGCCAGGGATATGACTAAATTAACCACCTGTCTGATCTGGAGCAGTGGGGCAGCTGGCAGGGGTAGCTCTTCACTGAGAATGCTTGGCAACCTGTGGATTCATTGTATTATTGGCAGAGGATCTGTTCAGGCTAGGCAAAAAGTGGGACAGCAGACAAGATGTCTCAATGCCAAGATTTCCAGCCCTCTGGCTCTGGCCAAGATGAATGGGCATGAAAATCTATGAGCATAGGTGTTTTTAAGGATAAACAGCTAGGCCATTTTTCAGAGCCACACTTGGTTAAGTTAGTGCCAATCACCCAGGTGGGAGCAGGGGGCTCATGACTTAGGTCTACCTCAGATCCCTCCATGAGGGAAGAGGGATGGGTCATACTGCAGGGCTGGGCAGTGGTACCATTCTGTCAATGGAGAGGAATTTGGATTGGTAGGGAGGTTACTTACTGGAGAAGATCACGTCCAGGATCAGGATGGTGGATTTGACCCTGTGACTAATGCGGACAATGTCGAAAGCATCGAGGCTGAGGAACAAGAAGGACTGCAGGAATGCCAGGACCCCAGCTACAATGGCATAGCTGCAGGCTGCCCCATTGTCGTTCAGCACGCAGCGCAGCTGGGACGAAGCTGTCAGGTTCTCATAGCCATCAGTCATCAGGGAAGCAAAGATAATCAGAGAGAAGAGCTGTGACAGTAGAGGTCAAAATTGTTAATGATGTTTAGGCAATGCCAATTATGCACAGCTGAGGCATGAGCTGATTAAAATGGCTGCCTTGCCAGCTCCTCTGCTAGCCTGTAAGATCTCTGGGACAACTCTGTACTGCACTCAACACAATGGGGCCCCAACTCTTAGGAGGGTACTTCAGTAACTTGCCTGATTAATTTCATAGGGCATGTCCAGATGTACATGAATGTTTGGTTCCCTGGGGACAAATAGTGGTGATATACCTTGTGCTGCTGCTACTTGGGGTTTTTTTTGGACACCTGGGCATCCAGGGGTCAAAAATATTGTGGAAAAAAAACCGGGTTCAGTGCACACTCAGTCAGCACAACCTTGCCGCATGGAAAACACCAGACTTAGTGGTATTGCCACACGCTGCACAGCTGTGCTTGTCTAGATGCACCCATAAGGTGCAGAGCACTCAATCTGTCTGGGGCAGAGACTGCTTTTATGTTCCGTGCTTGTCCAAAATGGGGTGCTTGTTCACACTTTTCAAAAGGTCAAGGGCTTGCCTGAGCTTAGTGGACCAAGGTTAGTGCAGTCATTTTCCCTAGCCAATGATGCATCTCCAGCTGCCCCCAACACTCTTCAGCCCAAATGGCCAGGTATCAATTTATAGCTAGGTCAACTGGGAGTAGCCTTCAGCATGAGTTCAGAGTGAGACCTGAATTCATGCCTCTGGTAGCTGTTACAAAATACCTTATCTGATCAGCCACAGCCACTTGATAAACGATAATAATCAACTCTGATTTACTTCAGCTTACTCAGGCCATGTATGAGGCCAAAAGACTGTTCCCTGGGCAGGAAAATCTGTTTCCTCTATAAATCAGGTACTCTTGGGGTACCTGCACTCTGTAGCAGTAAAGACCAGGCCATGCTATCATGAATGAGAGTTTAGGGCAGCAGATTGGAAAATGGTAGGTTTAAGATCAGTTCTAGGCTCTGGGAGACTTAGGGCAAGCTGGTATGTATAGCTGTGCCAGCCTGGAAGATGAGGATAATGATCCTGTCTTGTCTGTTTAAAGACTGAGAAACAGTTCCCACCTCCCAAAAGCTTTGCAGTGTGTTTTAGGGCCTCAAGGCCCTTTTGTGGTACAAACAATGAATGATGATGATAATAATTTCCAGCCCTGAGTACTTGGAGTGACATTTGCATCACTGGGAGTGAGAAAAGATTAATGAGGCTGGGGGAATAAATTGCTAGCTGATAAATCAATGGGGAAAAAAATGTCATTATGGCAACAGGTGGGCTGGGCTGCCTTGGATGAAATATGGACAGACCAGATGCTCTGCCCTGAGCTTGAACCAAACTCTGAACAGGTTCATTACTCTGTGGTATTTATATTCTCTGGCGCCTTGTTTCCTACAGAACAGGAAAGCAAGGGGGGGTGTAATTTGTTTATACATGTCCTGTGAATAGAGGACATCTCTTTGTCAGCTCTCCAGGGCTCTATCTGAGCATGTACAGTGCCCAGCACAAAGTGGCTAAACCTTTACTGGGGGTTTTGGTCCTTATTGTCAGGTCAATGTTTATGTTTTTTGCTTATATCACACACTTTTTATCAGCACTAGATTTCCTCCATCTAGTGCTAGTACCAAGGTGGCCTCTGCCTGTGTAATGCAGATGACTTAGAGCAGGTGTAGCCAACCTGTTCCATGTGTGTCACAAGTGGCACAGGCAGTTTCTGTTTGTTGCACATGGTAGATCATGGAGGGGGCAAGCAGCATAGCAGCACATAGGGCATGGAAAAGAAAGCAGAGCAGCAGACTGGGTGTGGGACAGGGAGTAGGAAACAGATCAGCCTAGTGCAGGGGCAGAAAGCATAGCAGTAGGTGAGGCAGGGGAAGGGAATCAAAGTGGCACTCAGGGAGGGCATGAGGCTTAATTTGTGACATGCCTGCCAAAAAGGTTGGCCCCACTGACTTAGGAGTAAGTGGCTTATTTCTCTTGGTTTCTCTCACCCCAGCAAGTATCCTAGCAATGGCCTGAGGTTTTTTCAGGAACTGGACCACACTGTTCTCCAAAAGATTCTGCAGAAAGGAGCCCCCTTGCTTCATCCTGCTGTTGTCCTTTCACCACGTCCCCAGGGGAAAACAGAGACTTTAGAGTGCTTGAGGGAAGGAAAGAAACAGGCAAGAAATTAGAAGCAGTCAGGTCTGGACAGAGGCTGAGGTTTGGCAAGGCACCCATGCAAGGCATGCTGCAAGCCTACTTAAAGGGAACAGGGCTCAGAACAGAGAGGCTGGTTTTCAGAGGAGTGCATCCAGTTCCCTGGTGTTACCATAAGGTGTGCTTTGATCCCGCTGCTCAACTCTATGCCACTCAGAGGGCTCATTGCTGAAACCCACTCCCCATCTTCTTACCAGCCCCACTTCCCCTAAGACAGAGCAGGTTGGCACCTTAGAGACTTACTGGTTCAGAGAAGCAAAAGTTTTCAAAGGTGACAACCTCCTTTGCTAGATGGTCCATTCATGATAGGCTGCTTTGTCAGATGGTATCTACAAAAGCTCATTATTGCCAGCGCTCATGATTTCCGGTGTTGTTCTGAAAGTCTATGCTTTGGGAATATGAAAAACTTAGCTTTTTCTTTTTTATATATCTATATTTATATTTAAAAAAAGCTAAGTTTTTCACATTCCTGAAGCACAGACTTTAAGATGGATGCCAAAAATCACAAGAGTTGGCAACGCTGAAAGCTTATGCTTTTCCAGTTAGTCTCCAAGATGTCACCCTGCCTTGCCTTCTGCCTGACATCAGACTAACACTGCTAACTACTTTTCCCCAGTTCATTGGGAAAGAGTTAATGTAATCCTGGCTTTTCCCTCACTCACATCTGAATAACCCTGCCATGGATTTGATACGATGCAGACTCTAGGCCTTCGCATCCAGGCATTACTGCAGTGGAGTTAATATGACATGAATTTCACCCTCTGGGAAGGGTATCCCTGATTCCCGTGACTGGTTGCAGGCAGGGAACTGTGACTATGTCAAGGTTCATGTGCAGAAAAAGCTAGTTAGCTGTGTTAGTGTGAAGTCTAGCCTGAAGATTTGCACTTCATAGACTGATTACATCAGAGATGTACAGCATAAGCTTTTGTGAACCTCAGCTTACTTCAGAGTCTCAGGCTCATGAAAGCTTAGGCTAAGGTTCATGTGACCATCTCAGCTTGGCTAACCCTGATAGCAGCAGAAAGGGGGCACTTTCCTCAGACCTTTCCCACCACCATTAGTGGGGCTGATGTGACTAGTTCTAATCCCAGGACAATTCTCTGACACTGAAGGGGTATTTGTCATGACTTCTTCATCTCCTAGCACTGACACTAGGGGGACTGAGGTGACCCCAGCTGAGCCTTTTGATCCCTCATGACCATAAAGGGCTCAACACAACTCTAGCTGTGTTTCCTCCTCACACTCTCTCCAGAGGGCCCCTGGAGGAGGTTTAATTGGAGCTCAGGAAGGCTTCTGGCCCTCACCCTCCCGTATCCCCCTTCATAGACCAGCTCCCTCCTCACCTCTCCTCAACCCCCCCTCAGTCTCTCCTCAGCCCCCTTTTCTCTTCAAGAAAGCGCCACACCCCCATATCCCAGATGGGAGGGGGAAGCGAGGACTGAGGGAGTGAGAAGCTCGACGCCTGATTCGCTAAGGTCACGCCACGCCCACGCGACGGTTAGACTAGCCTGTCGCCAGGGTGGGGGGAGGGCGGCGGTGGCGGGCGATAGCGCGCGCAACATTTAAATCAGCCGCGCAGGCTGACAAACCACACGGAGTGGGGAGTGGAAGCGGTGGAAGAAAACCCTACTGCTCACGCGCCGCTTGAGCCGGGCGTGCGTTGGAAAGGGTGGGGGTTAGAGCGTGGCGAGTGCGCATGTGCAAACTGGAAAGGGAAGGGAGGGAAAGGGAAGGAGGGTGGAAGAGGGTCTTACTGCGCATGCGCAGGTGCTCAACGTCAAGAGCTTTGCTTAAGGTTAGGATTTTTTTACGCGGGAGTTCCTTTCAGTTTGGGCTCTTTTAACCCCCGATTCCAGACAGATCCGTCATTTCCTGTTAAGAAGTCCCACAAGATTGTTATTGATGGGCGTGTCATGCTGAAGAGGCCCACGCTTTGGGGTCCAGAGGCCCATATAATGGCAAGTCTGGATGAGGGCAACACCGAGTGACCTTGACCTTTGCACTGCAGTTAAGCCATCTTTACTGCTCACCCTGGTGCTCTGGTGCACTCTGACCTCTGCCCTGCCGTCAAGACACTTTGACCGCTGCCACGCTGTGGCTGGTGACCTTTGAACTCTGCACTGCGGCCAGAACAATTTTACCTTTGCCAAGCCATGACCAGTGAACTCTAAGGAAGCCACATCACAGCCATTAGCTTCCTCCCTTGCTGTTTAGGGGAACGGATTGGATTAATGGTGCCATGGAGAAATCTTAAGCGTCTCTCAAGAGCTGAGGCGTGGGGATGGATGCAGCAAAGAAACACGCTCTTGCTGGCGGGGAAAATGGCTACCAAGGGGCAGGGGACTGGATATGGGATCTCTCCCTCTAGGTGACACTGGGTTCAGTCTGGCCCTGGGGAGGAGGACCTGACTGGCTTGGGGTGCAGGGTTGGGGCAAGGGTCTTTCTCCTTCGAGGAGTGCTAGCCTGGATCTGCCCAGGTCAGGGGTACTGGCTGGTTCAGAAGGTGGGACTGGGACAGGGGCTTTTCCCCTGTAAGAAACTTGATGCCATATGGATGTGTACATGTATGATTCTTACTGGCAATAGGGCAGTCACTCCAGCAGTGGCCCTGTGGTGGCCACAGAGCAGCCATGGATGTGGGGCTCCCTGTTTCTTCCTATAGGGCATGGCAGCTGACGCTTCTCTTTCTGCCCCTTTGCAGGATGTTGTGCATGGGACGGGCTGCCTTGGGCATGGGTGTGCTGGGGCCACCCTGCCGTGGTGTGGCTTCCCTGGCTACCAAGATGGCAGAATACCGAAGGATGAGGAAGCCCACAGAGCCCCAGGGATGGGCAGAGCAATATCAAGAGCGTTTCATCCCTTTCTCAAAGGGGCAGCTGGTCAGCACACTGCTTAAGGTATGGATTAACCCAACCTCAGGCTGGGTTTGGAGAACATGCAGGAGGGGCAGTGGAAGCAGAGACTGGCAGGGAACAGGGGAAGGAGTCAGTACAGGGATAGTTCGTTAGGAGTCATGGTGTGCTTCACCCCCAAAACAGCTGCATCTCAGCAAGGGGGTTCCTGTATAAACGTCCTCCCCAACCAGAAGTGGTTGCAATATAGTAGAAGGCCGTTGCACCTGGTAGAGGGCAGAAGTGTATGGAGCTCCAGGGCAGGGCACGTGGCTGAGTTGTATGACACTGAACACCTGTCTGTCCTTATCCCTCAGGAATTCCACTCTACTTCTGATGCTGATCGTGCCTCATTCCTGTCCTTTGTGGCTCGTGTGGACTCCTCTCTGCTGCATCACTACCACTCTGTCATGGGGCATTTGCAGGTAATGTGGCCCTCCCTCCCACATCTTTTCCTTCCCTGGGGGTGCCCATGGGCACTGGGTGCCTTAGGGAGGTTGGGAATATTAGCCAGGCTGAGTCTGGATTGTGAGATGGACTAAACCCATTGCGCTGCCAGGGGACCATGGCAAGCATGGTAGGAGCTCAGCAGGGGAGCCATGTTTCAGGGAGAAGACAGGGGTTTGGCAGAAGGGGCTGTGCTGCAGGGAGTGGGGTGTGGGGCACAGCAGGGGTACTGTGCTGCCAGGAGGGGAATGGGGCCTGGTAAGGCTTGCTCAGCGGCAGGGCGGATCACTTGCCGCATCTTATCCTCTGGCTCTTTCCCTAGGAGCTGGATGTTTGCCCAGTGCTGGCATGGGCCATGTCTCAGCCTTGGAGGCTCCATATTTCCTCCTTTTGCTTTCCCTTTCATGCCACGCTTTCCTTTATTTAAGTGTAATGCAGTATCCCTGTGTGGTGTTAACAGTGTCACTGCATACTGTATTGTCACTGTGTGTGGTTAACCACCTCTGCTCTACTCCAGAGGTGGCTGCATCTTGATGCTGGGGGAGGATCCCTTCACAGGCATGGTGCCCTGGGACTCTGTGGCTGGGTGTGCTAATGGTTGTTCACCCATGGACATGGCCTTCTCCTCCTCCCCAGGCTCTGTATGACCCCATTAATCCAGACCGGGACACACTGCAGGAATGGTCATTGACAGATGCCCAGCGCCTGGAGAACGAGCAGCAGGTGTTGGCTGCCCTGGAGCCTATTTTGGAGCAGGCCAACTTCAACAGCCTGTCAGAGGATGCACTGGCCTATGCCCTTGTGGTCCATCATCCTCAGGATGAGGTCCAGGTGTGGCCACCTTTTGGGAGGGGAGCATCAGTCCAATAAGCCCCTGTTATAATGTGGGGAAAGGGAGCTCTTAGACTTCCCTTATTCCATGTCCCATCCCATCCCAGGGCTCCACCTCAGATCAGCTCCTCTGGTCCCCTCAGCTGTATATTGTAACTGGGGGCAATAGAACTTCTCATGTCCCACCCCAGAGGCAGCTGCATCTCAGTACCAAGTGAGAGGTCCCTGCATAAACAGTCCCTACACCCCACCCCAGAAGAGCTGCATCTCAGCACTGGGCAAGGGGTCCATTCAGAAACAGCTCCCCAGTACACTTTAACCCATAAGTGGCTCCATCTTAGCATTGGGTGTGTGGTCCCTGTATAACCAGCCCCTACATCACACTCCAGCAGCAACCCTAGGTCTCACTGTGTTAGCAGGCAATGGCCTGGAGTTGCAGGTTCTGTTTTGCTTCCCCAGGTGATGGTGAACCTGGACCAATACGAATACATCCGGTTCTGGGCCCTCGGTCAGCGCATTGGGCCTCTTCCAGTGAAATCCACCCTGCGGCCCCAGCAAGGATTCTTTGGCACAGCCCCCCTCATGCCAAGGCAAGGAAACCTCAGTCTTCTCTGTCTTCTCATCCTGGTCCATCTGTGACCATTACCTTATCAGGCTAGAACACCAGAGGACAGAGCAGCTTGGGCACTGGAGGGTGTTGTGGGGCAGGAAGCTTAGTACTGAGCATGGCAATGCTGGGATCTGGGTGCTTTTCTCTTGGGAAGGCTATGCTACCTACTGGGAATGCTCCATTTAGGCCTGTAGTGTTGGTCACCCTGCTCTTTGACAAAGATGTAGCAAATGCAGTTAACCCTTAACCTGTTCCTGGTGTGAGGTGCTCTGTGGCTGTGGTTTCAGATGGCCCAGGACTGGGTAGAGGCAATGCGGAGCCCTCATCTTGACCTGGCCACCCTCTGGCTCTGGCACCATCCTCATGCTTTGAGAACTGAGCTAGTGACATGGGACCTGCTCTTTGCCTCCTTTGCACCCCCCATCCCGAAGACAGGTTGCCAGGAAGATGCATCTAGTACAGCATAAGATGCTCATGACTCTAGGAGCTACAGTTTTGCCCCTTTTTCCTTCTCCTCGGCCTTCCCCCCTCTCCTTGTCCTATTGGCAAGCCCCCTCCTCTGTCCTCGGCAGGCGCTATTTCAAGCGGATGGTAGTGGCGGCGCGGCCCAAGAATGCTCAC